GCAAGTTCCGTGGGACAGGTGATCTCTGAGGTGCTTCTCGCATGAGGAAGGAGAATGTGCAGTTTTGGGAAAACGAAACCCACCTTTCGTATCTACACTGCCCGCCACGTATCAGAATCTGACATGCATTTTTCACAAGAGGTCTTTCTGAGCTGTTTTCCATGCCACACCAAATGCTTTCGGGTCCTCAGGGGTGTCAGGAGCAGGTTCCCCGAACGTGCCTTCTCTGAGCCCCACCGACGGCTGTGGCAGGGTGCCGAGGACCTGGCAGGTCCGCTGACCCCGTGGCAGCCATTCCCCTCTGGTATGCTGGACTATTCCAGGTTCAAGGTCCTCCTCGTCTTCGTCTGCAGGCCTGGTGGGCTCAGGGGTGGAGGTGAGCGCTGCTGCAGGCCTTTGCTTTGCTGGCGAGATAAATGCTCACTGGGGCCATGCTAAGCCGACCAAGCTGACTCCGTATTTCAGCAGTATTTGTCATAAAAAGAATTCCAGGGATTTGAAGGATCAAAAGTCCAAGAAAAAGAAACATGACATTTTAAAGTTTGTATTTTTTGATTGAGGATTTTTGGAACCAGCTCTGTTTCAGTAGTAGGAATTTTAAACCAGCATCTGAAATTTTTCTGTGAAGTTGAGAATGAGACCCTGACATTCGTAATCAGTAACTCCTTATACAGACACTAATGAGCACAACAGTGAAATTTAATCTTGCCGCTGAAAAAATGAGAAATAATCGCAGTTTCATTCATTCAGCAGATACTGAGCATTCGTGAAACCCCGGGTACTCTGCCGGGGCCGAATAAGCAAATGTGATCTAATTCTTAAAGTTGGTAAGACGTTTTAATAAATTAGTTTTACTATTAAATTCATACTTAAGAATTCAGATAATTGGCAATCATCAGGATGCAGAAGCATTAAAAAAGTCCCATAGCGTCCGAATCTACCAGAAAGCTGAGAAACAAAAGCTGATTTTGTGGAACAGTACAGTATAACTTTAACAAAAAAGTTCTCCTTAAAGGAATTTTTATTCTAATTTTTTATTGTAATTGTAATTTTATTGTAATCGAGGATAACAGACATAAAACAATACTGTGATCATAAGTGATCAACCACTAAATTTTGTGGAACAAATTAGTTTCTTGAGAATTGAGATAAAGGACACAGCTCAAGGAACGGCAGTTGGGCAGCTGCTTGCTGGAGGTGGTGGGACTTAGACTGATGGGTAAGATTCCTGGGAACGGGGACACAGGGACAAAGCAGACTGTCCCCACCAAGAGGGTAACCTCATGAAGCCGGGAAGGAGGGCTGCGGCCTGCACCAGGCCTGAGACGTGTAGGGTGGGGAGCGAGACAGCACCAGGCCCCCACCCCTTAATTCCTCCCCAGCTTCCTCAGCTGTGAAGTGCGGACAGTATCCCTGCCAGCTCCGAGGGCAGACTGTGGGATCAGCCGAGATGACGAGTGTGACGTTCCAGGTGCAGAGAAGGTGTCTCGGGGAGGGAAGTGCTGCTCTCAGGGGGAACGGAGGGGACCGGAGCACAGAGGGCAGGACTGCTGGCATGTCATCACACTCTGATGCGATGGAAATTTAGGAAGCCATTCGACCCGAAGTAGGATGTGACAGGGATGAATTAATAATGGAAGCTACCTTTTGAGTGCTTCTGCGTACTCTGCTTTATGGCCATTATCTGCTGGCCTCACCACCGTCCTGCAGAGGGGTTGGCAGTGGTTCTCTGAGGCTCAGAGAGAGGAAACAAGCACCTTGCCCAAGGTCACCTCTCTGCCTGGAGTGAAGGCAAGGCTGACCCTCGGTCTGCCTGGTTCTAAGGTCGGGCCCCTTCCTCCTGCCAGACGCCTCCCCCTCTGCCTGGGAAGTGTCTGTTGGCTGCTGACCCGTGGGAAGAGGCGTGGCTGGCTCAGGGAGTTACCACTGCTGCCACAAGGTGTGTGCGTTCAGAGTACACGAGCACACCCCCGCCCACAAAGAACGTGGAGGGACAGGAAGCAGGGCAGCGGCCTATCAGTGGGAACAGAGACAGGGCCTGGCAACTGGCTGTGGAGAAAGAGACGAGGCGAGTCGGAGATGGCTGTGCTGGGCTGGGCTCCAGAAGGCTCAGGTACCCCTGGTGGCGCCCGTGGGTTTCTCAGAAGGGTAACTTCTCGTGGGCGCACACGTAGCAATCCCTGCAGGCTTCACAGTAATTCTTGCTTGATGTAGGTGGCATGTTGCCTGGCCAGATTTCTGTTCTAGAATGATCCGTGTCATTGGGGATTGGGAGGGAGGAGTAACCTGAGGTAAGAGATACTAAGTGTTCCTTGGGCCTCAGTCTTTTGCATCAAGGACAGTTCTTCTCCCAGTTGGAGGACCAGTTTTTTAAATTTCTAGTCTATCTGAACTGATACTTTTGTAAAATAAAAAAAGAATTACTAGGAAAAGAAACTGAAAAAGACGTGCAGAGTGCAAACTCTCATTTTTTATTAGATTCAACAGATATAAAATTACTCCATCAAACTGCCATAAAGATTTCTAAAGCTTATTCTCGACTTCTGCATTTAATTTCGAGTACAGACTATTAAACCATTCGTGGACGGGTGCACTTTGAGAGCAGTGGTCTAAGAAGAAAGTTTGTTAAGCAGATGAGTAAACGGTGTTTACATGAGTATTTACGTGATTTAAGAGTAAGATTAATCTTTCAGTTAGCATTTCAGATACTTTAGGTGTTCACATATGCTTTAATTACGGGTGACATCTTTTCAGTAACGTTTCATATTAGGGGGCGGGGATATGAAACCGATATGCCAGGAACTGGGGCTCACGCAGGACCGTACAAGGACCCGTACGCGCTGACCGGCACAGTCCTCGGAGAGATGGGCGCCTTTACTTCCTCTGTTGTTCTGAGAACTGGGGTATATTCTTTTGCTCGTTTAACTCATATTAATATGTTTTCTTTGTTAATTTTTGGCTTACCTTTGAAGAGATTTTTATATTTCAGTGGATAATCTTAGGTATGTTCTTTATTTTTTTATTTTTTATTATTGTAAATGGTTTTTTCTTTATTTTTTTTATTTTTAACATTTTATTTTTTACTTTCTCCCCCCTAGGAATATTCTTTTAGGGGGAAGTTGCCTAAGCAAACTTTTTTTAAAAAGTCTCAAGAGTTATGTATGCTGTTGTAGCGATCATGTCATAATTTAATTGGTTCATATTTCAGATTAGATTTTTGTCTCTAGCTGCTAGTGTCTCTTATTTTATATTTTGAGCTATTGTACTTTTGCTGATGTCTTTCTCACTCTGAGCTGATTTGCTGTGTTGTTCTCTTAGTCTAGAATTCTCTCTCCTGCCTTTAGTGCCCAGCCTAGGGGCCTTCCCTCAGCGCCTGGCCTCCGGCTGGCTCCGGGGGCCTCTGCTGAGCTGGCCTCGAGCCCCTGCCTTGTGGCACTCTCTCCCCTCCCCTCCCGTTCCCTTCGGCCCCGAAGTCAGGACTGCCCTTCGCTTTGTGTCATACTTCAGATTACGCTTTCCAAGGCTCTTTCCTGCATCTGCTCTCTCCTTTCATCCTGAGGACGATCCCATGAGGTTGGGATCGGCAGGGCGGAGCTGCCTCCTCCTCCCAGAGCCCCACAGCTGGACGAGGGCATCGTCTGCACCCCTCAGCCCTGCGCCCCCACAGCGCCTGGTACCCCTGGGTCCAGACTTCCAGACGCGCTCAGGTTTTGAGTTTGCGCAGAGGCTTGTCATTTGGAGGTCCTCTTTCTACTCGGTATTCACATTTGCTATCTGAAAAGTCAGTCTTAGAGTCCTCGCAGTGTCACAGGCCCCTTTGAAAGGAAGAACCTTCAGAACCCACACAGGGCGTGGCAGTGCAGACCCGCGGAGCCCGCACGGCTCGAGATGCTCTCTGGGCGCATTGGTTCGCAGTCCTCTGCACCTGGGATGTAACAGCAGGCTTGGCGGGGGGGGTCCTTTATTTCAGCAGTAACATCCAGCGTACTGGATCGCACAGAACATTTCTCGTGAAGAAAAGAATCTTGCTTTGGAAGGAGGGAGGCACGTTGAAAAATCACATTTAGTCCAAGTCCAAGTCATTTGCACTTGACTTTGGGGCATGTGGGTGTGTGGGTGTATGTTTTCTCCCTCTTTATCGTCAAACAGACCTGGGTTCCAAAGTCGCCCTGCCACATAGTAGGTAGGTATGGTGATCTTGGTTGAGTTATTTCCCTAAACTCGTTTCCTCATCTGTAAAATGGAGAAACATTATCTACCTCGAAGGACCATTGTAAAGATGAACGATGACGCATGCCCCGCACTGAGGGAGCGTGGGCTCCGTAGGTGAAGGTTACCTGTTAGTAAACGCGGGAGAGGGATGGGAGAGGGCGGGACCCAGTAAGGGAGCGCCTGCTGGCAGTCGGCTGCGGTCTTGGTTCTCAAACCTGAGTGGGCATCAGGATCACCCGGAAGCCTTTTTAAACTACAGCTTGCTGAGCCCGCCCCGTCCTTTCTGATTCCTGTGGTCTGATGTGGGGCTGGAGAATGCACATTCCTGAGTTTCCAGGTGATGCTGCTGCCACTGCTGGTCTGGGGACCACACTTTGGGAAGCACTGGGCTTCAGGTGACTCAACAGTGAGCACCGAGGTATTGTAGCTGCACTTGAAAGCCAAGCCTTCTGTGCTTAGGGGTTCTCTGCTAGAAAATGCTCGAAACGCATCTTGCACAGACTAAATTTAGTATCAAGGGTTTTTCCTCCTGCAGTCCAGGAGTCTTGTTGAATACATGTGAAGAAGAAGTTGAGAAAGTCCCGGTTACAAACATTGTGGATAGTCTAACAGTGTCACATTGGCTGAGGTATGTGAAAGTGCTTTTATAAAATGCTAAAATCTGAAAAAATATTTAAAATACCTTTGTTTTTAAGATTTAACATCATAGTGGAATATAAAATAGTGTGACTTAGGTTTCTCATCTCAATGTGCTGTTTACCGTATGTATTTTTCTCTTTCTCCTCCAGGCTGCTGACTTGAGTAAACCAATAGATAAAAGGATATACAAAGGAACACAGCCTACTTGTCATGACTTCAACCACCTAACAGCCACAGCAGAAAGTGTCTCTCTCCTAGTGGGCTTTTCCGCAGGCCAAGTCCAGCTTATAGACCCAATCAAAAAAGAAACTAGCAAACTATTTAATGAGGAAGTAAGTAGCACCCTGTCTAAGCTGTTAAGATTCCCTTTAAGAATTTATATGTCCTTTCCAAGGGTAGTGGGCCTTATACTTTGAGCTAAGCCCGTTTCTCATTCTCTTGGCTGTCCTGCTTAGCGTTGCCCAAATGTAAAAGTGGTGAATTAACTTGTTGACTTTTACTTGTTCTTTGGGGTGACTGTTTTCTGGGGTTTTTTTTGTTTGTTTTTTTTTTTATGGAGAATGTTCAGGTGTCTATAGCAGGTGCTTTAAAACTTTTATAATGGAGATACGGGTGAGACTATAACTTGATATTTATAGATTAAAAAAGAAAATATAGAATTCCAGACTTTGTTCACATCACCAGAAAATTTCATACAGATCAAAGGATTCGATGACATTTTCTTAGGTCGCTTTTGTGTGTATGTTTGACAGGCGTTTGGCTAAGGAATCATGCTCTTGCTCTTGAAAATATTTGCTGTAAAATCACCTCTGACATAGTTAGAAATCCTGGCACTTAGAATTGGATCCCACGACATAACCATTGCCAGTGGTGTAGTATGTCCTGGAGTTTCTGGTATCTTCGGTTTCATTCTGGAAGGAGCCTGAGATAACTGAGCTGGGTTGTCTGTTCAGGAACACGTGAGGACTGTTAACCTGACAGGCGGAGATGGCCAAGTCGATTGCGTGTGTTAGGGCTGCTGCAGAGGCTCTTCGGCCCCAGGATCGCCGTTGCGTGGTGAACGGCTCCTTCCTCTGTTCCAGCACGCCTTAGCCAGCGGGGGAGGTGACGGAGGCTTGCTGGGTTAGAAGTCCTGAGTTCCACCCTGTTTGCGACCTCAGTCCTGATGTGACAAGGGTCAGGTCATGTGGGACTCCTCTCTGAGGAAGGACAGTGGTTTCGATGCCACTAACTGAGAACAGAAGCACACCATGGTTTCTGGCTCTTAAGAAATAATTTGGGGACGGATATTCAGCTTGACAGATTGTGGTTAAAATCCTGATTCATTTGCGGTCTGTGTGGCAGATGCTGTCCATGCGTCCCCAGCATCCATCCAACGTGCCCCTGTGTGGCGTTGCCAGGTGGGTTGGGGAACCTTTGAACCATGCTGTCTTCTCTCTAGCTGCATTTGGGTTGACTGGCAACAGAATTTGCCATCCGGATTGACGAACTGTGGAGGAGAAGTATTTCATCCCATTTTCCATTAAAAAGCAGAAATTTATTCTTATTTACCTAGATATTTTACTAATATCATCTAAGGAAGTGATTTCTAAGTTAGCTGGATTGTAATCAGCTAATTGTAATCAATTCGTTCATTCTTTCATTTATTGTGCGTGAGAGTGGGGCCTCAAAACCAGCCTTCTGTGCAGTTAATAGAACTCTTGAATTTGGGCTCCTCGTGGGTTTTGTTTGTGTCGGTAGGGACGTGCTATTAAGGGGGAAGGGATTGAAATCATGTAAAAGGCTGTCGGTAAACAAGGGCAGGAGGCCGCTCTGCTGAGGATGGCACAGAATGCCACTTAGAGAACAAGAAGGGTTTGTGTGTCATCGCCGGGGGAGGGCAGGAGCCGGGGACCACAGGTCCCTGGAGTCTCAGGGCCCAGTGGGCACTCAGACGCATCAGCACGACCTGCCCTGACTCTGGGCAGCTGGGGGCAGCAGGCTAGAAAGCACCTCCTCGCTCCTAATGACCGAAGCATGAGTTACATTTTATTTGAAAAATGGCTGTTCACAATGCTAGGACTGTGTATGATGTAATGCCAACTTGGCCTTGACAACTCGAGACTAAAATTGATTGCCCTTCACAGTAAGGAAATTCTTTGGCTGCGTGGATGATGTTTTCATCAGATTTTGATCAGGGGGTCTCAGAGCAAGGGTCGTCAGGTTTGTTTCTCAGAGAGTGCCAGGAACAGTAGTCGACGCAGTCATCACGCCACGCTTTGCACAGTCAGAGTCTCTGCTTTATTCCCTCTTGGGGATGGTGTGCGACTGTTGCCATTTTACAGACGAGGAAATTGTCAGAGAGAAGGTAAGTGAAGTGTCCAGATCAGGTGCAAGTTGATGGTAGAGTTGGAACTAGAAACTTCTTCCATAAGCTCTTACTCATTGGGGACGTGCTCCCCACCGTGGAAGGAGGACAGGCCCTTGTCTCCCCAGGAGCTCACTTAGGAAGCTGCACGCACAGTGCTGGGGCGTGTGTTCTCCCGGGGCTGTGACCGGAGGGCCAGGGGACACGCGTTAGCCGTATTCTTCAGTGTGTATCAGATGTCATAAAACGAAAGCAAACATTAAGCTCGACGGAAGTCTGAGAAGGCTTCCAGAAGGTGACATTTGATATCTGGGTCTTGAACGATGCAGAGGATTTGGAGGAGTGGGAGGCAGGCCTTCAGAGCTGGAGGGCGCAGTGGCGGGGAACAGCCTGGAACCGAGGGCGGCCAAACCACAGCCTGCGGGCCTCGGGGTGGCAGGAGTCAGCCCAGCCATACCAAAGAAGCCCTTTCACAACATGCGACAAGTTCGGATCTGACTCTGGAGGCTGTGGGGGAGCCTCTGGGCCTCTACTCGAGGGGGCGACAGGGTCAAATGCGTTTTCTTAGGATTCTTGTGGAAGGTGGATTAGAATGAGGAAAGAAGGAAGGTGGCAAGCCCAGCGACAAAGCTCTAGTAACTGCCCAGGTGAGGGCTGAGGGCTTGACCTGGAGTTGTGGCCATTTTTCCATTCGCCAGACCTCGATTCCCTGCCGTGTGCTTATCATTGGGTGCAGTGGCAGATGACCCCTGCCCTGCTTCACACCTCTCGGAGAGGGGAGAGAGGTGTGAACAGAAGCACCACACATGCACGCATGCACGCACACACACACACGCACACACACACACGCACACACATGCACGCACGCTCGCACGCACGCACGCACGGCAGATGGCGACTTGTGATGGAGGAGGAGACAGTGGGCCTGAGAGAAACACGAGGCCTGTTTTAAGTGGGGAGGAGGAGACCGTCTCTCCTCCCGGAGTAAGTGGCGTGCTTTAAGGTGAGCCTCGCGTGAGGAGGCGGCCAGGTGAGGAACTGGAAGAGGCTCCTGCAGGTAGGAGGGCAGGTGAAGGCCCTGGGGTGGGAAAGAACCTGGGACCAGAACTGAGGGAGGACGGTGGGCACCTAGAGGGTGGTACAAAGTGGAGTATGAACCTGGGGGCCCGTGCCACTCAGGGTCCGGCCCAGGTCTGTGTCCCCTCCTGAGTCTGGGTCCGATAGAAGGGACAGGAGCGCGAGGCGGTCAGATTGGCTGCGTCTCGGAGACCGCACTGGGGAGACGTGTGGACACAGCTTGGGTTTCTGGCGATCGTGGCGCTACACTGGGTGCAACTGCGGAAGGAGCAGGTGTCGGGGCCCGAGGCAGAGGGCAGACAGAGGTCCGTTCCGTGCATGTGAGACTCGAGAGGCTGGTAGGTGGTGGCTACGTGGGTCTGGAGCCCAAAACTACAGGTAACTAGGGGAGTCGTCAGCATACAAATAGTAGTCATACCCCCGAGGTTAGGAGAAGGGTCTGCGGAGAAAGTACAGGAGGAGCCAGGCACCCGGAACCAAGCCCCGACCGCGCTCCCAGACGGGCCATCTCACCGTGCTGTCCCCAGAGGCGCTCTTAAAGCCATCAGCTTTTTCACCCTGAATTTGCAGACTCAGCCCCGTGGCTAAGACCGGGGACTCTGGAGGCCAAACACCTGGGGCTCAGATGGCAGCTCTGCCGCTGACTGGCCGGCGGTGTGGGTCTGCTCCCTGCCCCCTCAGCTGGGGAGTGGGTGAGCGCACTACCCACCAGAGGGCGTGCTGCCCGTGAGCTGTTAGCACAGAGCGCCCCTCGAACAGCTCCTGGGGAGGTGAGATACCGGCAGTTTTGAAGGAGAAACAGAAATAACGTTCCAGGACAAGAAGGTCAGAGCAGGGCAGCCCAGGCAGAGAATCCACGTGTGTGAGGCTGAGTGCGGGGGCTGCTCATCACAACTGTGCGGAGTCTGTCTCCTCTCGGCCACCGTTAACACGTGTGCCCGGTCCTGATTATTCTGACCATGCCTCCTTTGTAGAAGTACCTGGTACATGAAAACAGTGCACGGTTAGATGGATGGATGGATGGATGGCCGGCAGGCATGGAATAGTACATTCCAGAAAGCCACCTGAGATTAAAGGCAGATGAAAATCTCTATATGGGAATCGAGTGTATCTTAAAAGTGTATCTCAAGAGTATATCTTAAAATGGGGGTGATTTTTTCCCCATTAATTAAAAAGTAGAAGTGTCTCGAACACTTGTGTAGAGAAACATCGAGACAGCGCAGTATGGAGAAGAGGGAGAGCACCCCTGTCAGTCCCGGCGCTGTCCCCAAGACTAAGAGCCACAGCTTCCACTGCGGGCGCCAGCAGCCTTCGCTGCCAGCCTGGACCCAGATCCGCTCTGTTCGGTTCGCAGAGGCTAGAGCCACTCCTGGGCCATCCAGTCACCCTGGCTGCTGTGCCTGTGCTCCCAGCAGGGAGGAAAGTCCCTGGTCCTTTCCGGCCTCCCCTGGGGAGTGAGAGCTGAGACCCCAGGGCCTCCGCTGTCTCCAGTCTCCAAGTGGGTTTTGGGTTTCGGTTTGTAGTCCTCGGCATCCGCCGGGCCTCTGCTGAGGGTGGTGAGGCACATCCGGTGAACTCCAGACCGTAGAGCCTGCCTTCATTATAAGAGCCACCAGGGACGGAGAGTCACCCCATCAGCATTCAGCCTTGTGTGAAACACCCCTAAGGGGTGGGGGCTTCGCTTTTTATTTCTAGTGGTTATGATGCATTGGGCAGGAGGAATTTTAAAGGGACAATTTCTACATGGCGATGAACTCAGCCTTGTTTGTCTTTTTAAAAATTCCAATTATTTCAAGGTCATAGCCATAGAAGAGTAACTTCAGAGGATTCTCAAGTATGTTTTGACTATTGGATAAGAAGTAAAATTGAAAAAGAACATGTCGTCTTGGCTTCTTTCATTGCCGACGT